ACAGGGCTTTGGTGAAGCAGTGGAGCTGTCCCGTTGTCCTTGGCCTGGTGTGCAGCAGCCTTCTTGCCAGGCTTTGGCTGGAGTGCAGCGAATGTATCTACCTTTCCACACTTTTGGACAGGGAGCGGCAACCTTTCCACACCAAAGAGCCAAACTGCATCACAGTTCAGAACAGTGGTCAACAAAAAGCCGTATCAGAATGGCCGTGCCTGAAAATACACAGCTTAATATTCTTGATAATTGACATGATGATTGATAGTAGTATAAATGAAACTCTTTACTTAGACTCCCTTTGGCCAGTGCTCTGCAGCCACAAACGGACTTGCAGGGAATCATGGGACCCCCCCAGGTGGCAACAGAGCGGAGGTGACACAAAGGAGAGAAAAGGAAAAGAGTGGGCAGAGGAGATAAGGCTCTGGAGAGCACTGCTGAGAGATGGGGCTGGGCTGCTACAGGGCCTGGGGGGTGGGGGGGAGGAGGAGACAGAACTACAGGTTTGACCTTACCATGTGCTGGGGCCCAGCTGGGCACATGTGCTCCCCGCAGGGTGCCCTTGTCCTTTGCAGACCTCAAGGAACCCGAGCACTTACCAGCCAGGTTCCCACCAGCCCTGTGGTGTGGGGCGGTGGGAAGCGACTCTCCACAGAACCCCCGGGAAGGCAGGAGGGAGACACTGGAGCCATTGAACCTTTCCCCTGAGCTGGAGCTGGGGCCAGGGCTGCATGATGGCTGCCCAGCTGCTCCTGGAGTGGGGACTGTAGCAGCTGCTGGAGCTGGAGTCCCGGGCTGCTCCTGGGACTGTCAGGGCCAGATTAAGAGGGGGCTAGCCAGGCAACTGCCCGGGGCGCCAACCTATGGGGGGCACCTGATTGAAATGGTAAGGGGCGCTGTGTGCCCAGAGGATGGGCCATGCACGCGCTGTGCACCTATTGCCCAGGGCGTAAGTATGGCTCTGTCCGGCACTGGGGCCGGGGCTGTGGTATGGCTGTCCCCAGCAGCAGCTATGTGGCCTTGGCACCAGTCCTTCCGCAGCTCTAGCCCCAGCACATGGGGCAACTGTGTGCCATGCAGCCCTGCCCTGGGAGCAGCCGAGCAGCCATCACGTGGCCTTGGCCCCCCACTCTCCCACCAAGCCCACCAGCAGCAACAGCTTACTTTCCATATCCAGGGAGGGTGATAGCTGCTGTGTGAGGAAATGGACAGGATTAAAATTTTTTGTGTGCACCCGTGGGGAAATTTTTTGTGTGCACCCCTACAGGGAACTTAGCCTATCATCTGCCAAAAGAGCCATATTTGATTCTGTTGCGAGATGTAGATTGCTGACTCCTGCTTTAGGATGCTGTGTGGTCTGTAAATAGAACATAGTTTAAGATAAATCTAATAATTCAATATATGCAGGGCTCTACCATGAGCCAAAGGTTAAATGAGCACTCATTAGGTGCATTCATTAAGCCTTTGATTCATGGTAGAGCCCTGCATAGAACTATTTTATTAATCTCCCACATAATTTCATTTATTTTTATCCCACTTTTACCTGCAAAAACCTTAGATTCTGTAGGAAAGGCAAATACACACAAAAATATGGGTTACAGTTGCCAACTTTCCTGCCTGGATAAACTGTATGCCATTGTCGCAAACAGGTGCAGCAAGTTTGCAAAAATTTGGTGGTGCCCAGTATGTCCTGACCCCACACCCGTTCTCCAATCAAGCTCTTCCCCTGCTTCCCTCAAGTCTCTGAGAGGGAATTTGGGTTTGCAAGGTGTTCAGGCAGGGTCATCCAGGGGCTGGCAAATGTCCTGGGAAAACTGCCCCCATTGCCCCAGGCCAATCCTCCCACCCCAAGGCTCTGCTCTTTCCTTGAAGTCCCAAACCAGTTCAGAAGCCTTCTCCCCCAAGCAACCTGAGCTGAAGTGTGTGTGTGTGTGTGCGCGTGTGCGCGTGCGCGCATATGCCTGGCAGGGGTGGCAGCAGGCCTCATCACTAGGGATATAAAATTCTGGTTAATCAGTTAGTTAAATGTTAGGATGATCCAACATTTAACTGGTTGACTAAGTGGGGTCTGAGCTAGGGACTGCTCTAGCCAGCTGTAGCAGACCCCAACCCCACACTGGGTCTGGCTACTGGCTTCCAGCCATCTGCCACTTGTGCCCAAATCCCAGTCCTGGGACTAGGGTTTACTCTGCTTGCTCCCAGCCTCCAGTGGAGCAGCCCATACCTGTGGAGCACACAGACTCCCCCCTGTTTGCAATGGGCCCACTGTGGGACTGGAGCAGCCCCCTGCCCATGGAAGGCAGGAAGCTGCTCCAGCCCCCACCAGTTACCCGGATCCAGTAAGGATCACCCATTTAGGATGATTGAGGCAGCTGCCATAGGGCCCACCAAACTCCCTCTAAGAACCCCTGTGGCTCTGGGTTTGGGTTCTGGGAGGGAGTTTGTGTTCTGGGTGCAGGCTCTGGGCTATAGCAGGAGATAGGAGGATGGGCAGGCTTGGTGAGGAAGTTTGGGGGTTGTAAGGAAGGGGAGAAGGTGCAATCTCTGGAGGGAGTGGCGTACACCAGAAGGAATGGGCGGGTGCACTCCACACCCTAGTATTTTTATTGCCCAACAAGTAATTCTGCTTATCACAATTCTTTGTATTCAGAATGAATTGCTTTAAAAAAAATTTCCAAGTTATGTTTGTATGTGTCACCCTTGAGAATCAGTAGCTTGGGTATGTACCCGAGTGAAAATCCTTGGTGTGAAGCTCACTGGTACATAAGAACAGCCATACTGGGTCAGACCAAAGGTCCATTTAGCCCAGTATCCTGTTTGCCCAACAGCTCACCAAAGTCTGAAAGTAAAGAATGGTGTTCTACTTCAGTCTCCTTGAAAGAGTAAGTACATTGCAGTTTCAGTGATGCTGGTCTTAACGCAAGAGAACACATATAATTATCCAAGTGTACCCTTTTTAGAGGGCATTTAAGACTCCTACACCTAGCTGAGTGGAGTTAGAGGAAGAATTTAGTAGAGAGCACTAAGTAGTAGATTGCTGTCTTGATGTTTGAGAGAGAATACAAAAACTAATGTAGGAGGCCATTTCTCATTTTTAGTTGAAAGTTGAATGTGACCTGCCAGTTCAACCAGAATTATTTAACTATCTATTTAGAAATATTTTGCAAATAAATTTCTTTAATGTTATACTTGAATTTTTAAAAAGCCTGTTAACTTGTTACTGAATTTTTTTTGCATTTCTCGTGAATTGAACAAAAATACATTGTTTTTGTTTTTAATCTGTATAACTTTCAGATTTCTAGAGTAGCAATGTTTGTTTCAAAGGCTACAGGAAATAGCTGTTTTGAAGTAACACTAGTCATTGGAAAAATGTCTTTAGTAGTTTTTAAAAAAACTAAATTTTAGGTCAAATTTTAGATTGTCTATTTCAGGCCAGTAATTTATTGGATGATCAACATTAGTTCAGTTTCATTCTTCATTACTAGGTGTCTGCTTGTTCCTTTGGAATCCCCATCACTCTTCTTTCCTTAATCGGGGAATTGGTACCTTATTCTCAATAGTTCAGCAATGCAAATTGAAATGGAAATTGGAACAATACTAGTGTGGGATTCTATAATGATGAGAAAAGTAGAAGCTGGTGTTATACAATACACAAGTGTTTTCTTTTTTCATATCTGGAAGCCATGACAGACCAAAACCTATTTGTGGATCCCATAAGTAATTTTTATCTTAACAGGATAGTCTTTTGGCTTAACTACTGTTTTTTAAATAATTTCTTTCAAAATATATGAATGTTGAAGGATTCTTCATTTCACAAGAGTAGGTAAGGTGCATATATTCTTCGCATAATTCACTTGGGTTTTTTTCACATTCTGTCTCACAAATGTCATAATAAACAAGCTAGAATACGTGGAGTGTTGATTGTGCCAAGTAAATGCGTACTCCAAGTTGACATGTGGGCTTGAAGAAAACTAGTGATGACAACCTGTAGACAACTACATGATTAACCAATAAGCCCATGCTTATTAGTTTATCCTGTTGACTGTATGCACACTTGGGTTTTTTTCACATTCTGTCTCACAAATGTCATAATAAACAAGCTAGAATACGTGGAGTGTTGATTGTGCCAAGTAAATGCGTACTCCAAGTTGACATGTGGGCTTGAAGAAAACTAGTGATGACAACCTGTAGACAACTACATGATTAACCAATAAGCCCATGCTTATTAGTTTATCCTGTTGACTGTATGCATTCTCCCCTCCCACCCCCCCGCCCTTGCTGCCTCTGTATCAGTGCCTGTAGCCAACTCCCCACAAGCCTGGATTTGCCTGTCCCTCCCATCCCCGCATTGCTGCCTCTGATAGGCAGGAATTGATAAAGTGTGGGAGCTGGCATTTAAGTGTGCTGGTGCCATGGACCCACAGAGGCAGTGGGGG